CAGCCCCTCAAATCTCTGAAAATTTCAGACATAGGATATATGCTAGGGATATCTCTGTGGTTGTTGAATCAAAGAGAATAAAACAAATATATTCTCTCTAAATTATTAACACTAAAGAATACAGTTAAAGATTAGAATACACAGTATCATTAAAAACATCTCTCCCCAGGACATAGAATATACCAACAACCCTAGTCAAAAGTCAACAAAGGGCTAGAGAGATGGCTTAATGCATATAGCACTAGGTGTGCTAGTGCTTCGGAGATAATAGTTCATTTAGTGTCAACATCAATGTCAATATGTCTTAACACAGCACACAGTAGACTAGAGGGGTTGGTTACTCTGATGACTGAGTGGTTAACTGGGCCCAGAATTTGGAAGGATAATTGTATTGTACCCCATATCACTGGCATGGGGAAAGGTCAAAATTCTAATTTTGATGTAAGATTTTTTAATTGTGTGTCACTTTTGTAACATGGTGAAGTAAAAAATTATATTTGAGCTATTATAACTCAGATTACCCAGATAGAGAGATAGATAGATAGATGAATAGATAGATTAATCCCTATATATAAAATTTTTACTTGTTTGATTAATGTAACTCTACAACTGTGCTAATTTTTTTTAGAACTCTCATTATTTTTAGTTACAGGATAGAGTAACCTCTGTTTCATTACTAATTTATAGGCTGTCATCCAAAGATCAGTTTCAGGCCATGGCCTTCAAGATTTTGAAGATAAGTCACCTTTTCAAAGTCTATATTCATTGCTAATGGAAATAGAATTAAGTGTTTGGGGCTCAGAGAAATGACTAGGCACTAGGTGCTCTTGCATAGGACCTGAGTTCAATTCCCAGCACCCATATGACAATTAACAACCGTCTGTATCTCCAGTTCCAGGGGATCCAACACCCTCTTCTAACCTCTGTGGTAATTGCAGGACACAGTGTACCTACCTACAAGCAAGTATTATACTCATATACATAAAAAATGAAATATTAAAAAAATTAATTGAGTTCTGGGTCTTATTTTCACTTTCTTGGGTATTGTTAGAAGCAGTATAATTTTAGGTTCTAAGATGTGGTTACTTCCCTCCATCCTCACTGTGATGTCAAAGCATTTGAAAGTAGTAAAAAAAAAAAAAAAACCCAGCTTGCTCCTTTGCAAACCCAAATAACCCAGGAGTGGAGTTATTTTAAAGAAACTTTGCAAGTTTGGGTTTTAAGAATGTCTGCTCTAACTAAGTACTGTCCATAATTCCAGTTCCAGGGGATCCGACAGCCTTTTCTGTCCTCTGAGGGCATTGCATGACATGGGTACACTTATCTAAATGCAGACAATGCACACATACACATAAAAATAATAAACAAGTCTGCCGGGCGTGATGGCACACACCTTTAATCCCAGCACTTGGGAGGCAGAGGCAAGCAGATCTCTATGAGTTCAAGGCCAGCCTGGTCTACATAGTGAGTTCCAGGCCAGCTGGGGCTA